AGCTCACCTTGTGCGCCCGCCAGCTCCCACCCCCTGATGCTCCGCATCCGATCTCATTTCTTTTTACATTTATTTGTTATTATTTTTTAAATTTGAGCAGAGAGAGAGAGCTGCCAGCTCCGAGACTCGAACCTCAGGCGGCCATGTGGGAGTCCGGTGCCTCCACCACTCCACCAGCTGCCAACCCCTCATATTTCTTTTTTTTTTTTTTAAGAGAATTTTACTATAGAGCACGTGGGCTCACTACAGAGAGAGGAGAAGTGGAGAATCACACTGCAATCCCTTCTCCATTCTCCTCTCAGGATTTTGGGCATGCATGCAGACATGCACAATGAGGGCGTCTTTTTTTTTTTTTAATAATTATTTTTTTATTATCATTATTTTCTAATTATAATCAATAATCAGAGAGAGAGGAAAAGAGAACAAGCCTCCAGGCCTGGGACTCGAACAGCGGTTGACCATGTGGGAGTCCAGCACCCCTAACCACCAAACCACCTGCCAGCACCTGCCTCCCCAGCATGAGTTTTAAGCTGCCGGGTCTGGGATTTGAACTGTGCTCAACTCTGTGGCAATCCAGGAACGTAAGCATTACACCATCTCCTGGCCCCTCTATGTTTTTCAATGCCAACATGCATCATGGCGTATGACCCAATGCCCCAGAAGATCGGATCAAGAGCTAGATTGGACAGACACACGATACATGATGGGTGTAGAAGAGGTGGGTGATTGGCAGGTAGGTGCTCAATAAATAAAAGATCAATAGATGGGAGATAACAGAATAGGTATCCACATGACAGACAGATAGATGATACTCATGGCTTTGGAAGGGTGGGTGGTTCGGTAGGTAGCTAAAGGCAGAGTGATTTAAAAAATTGCATAGATAGATGATGTTTACTTACCTGGGTAGCTGGTCGGTGACAGGGCAGTGGAGGAATGATTGGATGGGTGGTTGGGTAGGTAAAGACGGAGAGAGACGAAATCAGATAGACAGATGATAACTTACGTACGGGCGGATAGTTGGTGACAGAGTAGATATACATGATAGCCGTGGCTGGGTGGGTCGGTAGACAAAGACGGAGTGATAATACTTGATACAGATGGGTGACAGGTGCTTACATGGGGAGATGGTCGGCGACAGAGCAGAGGTAAGTAGCAGCCATGGCTGGGTGGTTGGTTGGGTAGACAAAGAACAGAGTGACACTCAACGAGATGGACAGATGACAGAGACGTAGATATGGGAAGATGGCCAGTCATAGAGTCGATAGGAGAATGCGAGCCACGGATGGGCGGGTGCTTAGGGAGGTAGGTAGATATTGTACATACATGTCATGAAGAGAGATGACAAGTAGATAGTCATAGCTCGATAGAGAGGATACATAGATTGGGCAGATGAACGACTGAGGGATTGATCCATAGATGATCAATACAATGGTTGCAGAAGGGTTCTGTAGGTCACCTGACAGTGGCTCACTGGCTCAGGCACTTGAGCCCTGGATCCACAGCTTGAAAGTCACATCGGGCACGTGTGTGTGTGTGCCGTGCCCAAGATCCCGAGAGAAGAACGGAGGAGAAGGGGTTGCGGCGTGGCCATCCCCCCTGGGGGGTGATTTCTCACTTTCCCTCTTTCTGTCTCCAAAGAAAAAGAGAGAGAGAAGAGAAGAGAGGAGAGGAGAAGAGAAGAGAAAGAAAAGAAAAGAGAAAAGAAAAACATGGCAGCTGCATGTACGTGCATGCCCCAAAATCTAAAGGAACAGAGAAGGAGCATGACCACGCCCCATTGGAGGTGATTTCTCTCTCTCTCTCTCTCTCTCTCTCTCTTTCACACTCACAAACACACACACTCATGTGTGCTCTAGCAATAAAAAAAGAAACAAGCAAAACATGGGAAGAACTCAAAGAAACAAAAGCAAAATACAACAACAAGAAGAAACAAAGAGTGTGGTAGGCAGTTAGTGAGCCAGGAGCGGGCAGCCCTAAGAGAAAAGCAAAAGGCTCACCTAGCTTCAGGTGCCAGGAGGGCGAGGCAATTTGCCATATTAACTCCTTGAGGCTTGAGGGAAGCACACAGGGATTGTTCGTAGATTTTCTTTTGTCAAAAGGACCCAAGCAAGCATTCGGTCATTAATACGATAGACTAATTGGGCGATCTAAGTGGGGCAGCCTGACTCGCACTGGGCGTACGTAATTAGGTGACCAAATTCCTCACTTTGCCTGTGAGGAAGGTGCACAGGTGCAGGAGAGAACACGTGGGTTCAAATTTAAAGGAAGAACAAAGGCAGCGTAAGGGGCCGCCCACTAATGAATATTCATGACCCCTAGTAATAAGAATAACGGTTGACCTGTATCAAAGGTGGTGGCCACTTGGCAATCCGCCCGCCCAACGACCTTTCTGGGTGTACTTTCTTCCTTTCCTCCCTTTCTTTTCTATTAAAATTTCTTTTCTACCTCCTTCATTCGTGGTTGCGGTTTCATTTTGCGCCTAGGGACAGATCTCTAATTTTAGTGATCTGGACCCAAAGAACGAAGGATTTCACAATGCAGCTCGACACTTTTCCATCCGTTAAGAAGAGCGGGGATGTCTCCCCAGCAGAACAACGCAAAGGTTCACACTCTCTGGCCTGGAGGACGGGATATGGGGACAGAAAGCTGTCCTGTCCGGGGAGTCCTCAGAAAGTTCACGGGAAGTGCGTATTATTTGCATGGATGGCACAAGCTCTTGTCCCTAAACGAATGTCTTCCTCCATTTTGTTTCCTACAGACCTGAGGAAGGCCCTTGCCCGTGGGTCTTTGCGTGCCTCGTTGGGTGTCTTCCAGTTTCTGAGTTAGACGGCAAGGTGGCCAGAGCTTCCGGCCATCCAGCTGGCGTGGAGGGTGAGGTGGCCGATCTCGCGTGGCCAGGGTGTTGGAGTCCCCGGGCCCAGCGACTTCAAAACACACCAGGCACGTGTGCGTGTGTGCTCCAAACCCCGAGAGAGTGGAGGGCAAGGAGTGACAGTATGGCCATCGGGGGGGGGGTGTTTTATCAATCTCTTTCTGTGTGTGTCTCTCTGTCTCTCCAGGGAGTGCATGGACTCTCAAAAAAAGAAAGAAAAAAACAAACAAACAACAAAAAAAAAGAAGAAGAAACAAAAAGGAGTGAGAGTTCACCGCAGCCTTTTTCTCATGGTGGAGGGCCACACGTGTTTCTCCCCTTGGCTGCTCTGTGTGCGACTTCGGAGGCGTGTTCACACCAGCCGCTACACCTCCGAGGCGCTGTCTCCCCTGCAGCCACGTGGCTCTGTGTCCCCGCCCCGCAACCCATTGACGTGGGTTATTTGGGGACAGCTAGACATTCCCAGAAGCTAAAAATAAGCCTTCCCGAAGCACCAGGCAACCTGCAAGGAGTCGGTGACAGCGGGCTGCCCGGCGGGTCCTGGGCGGCTGGGAGCAGCCTCAGCTCCTGCCGCTCCTTTCTGGAAACAGCGAAAACACCAACAAGACCGTCCGGTGCCTGTGCGTGGCCCCGCTGGTTAAAGAGCAGCTGCCTCTTAAGGCTACACTCACCACGCAGTTGTAGGGGAAAAAACCTACGTTTAAATAATTATTGTATTGAACTTTATTTATTCATGTATTCCTTTTTATTTATTTTAATTTGACCAGAGAGGGACAGAGCGAGAGAGAGACAAAGAGAGGGGAAGCGAGAAAACGAGTTGACGGGTCTAGGGCTGGAACTGCAGTCAGCCACGTGGGAGTTCAGAGCCCTTAACCACCAACTACGCCATGTACCAGTCCCCCAAAAATTTCTCTTTTTTTTTTTTGAGAGTTTTTTTCTATACGGTGTGTGCGCTCGCCAGACAGACAGAGAGATAGAAAGCGAGAAGTCACCCCCCAGGGGGGATGGCCATGCCGCAATCCCTTCTCCTCCATTCTCCTCTCGGGATCTTGGGCCCCCACACACATGTGCCCGGTGTGAGTTTCAAGCCACTGGGTCCGGGACGCGAACCGCGGTCGACTACGTGGGAGTCCAGCAACATAGCCATTACGCTAACTGCTGGTCCCAGTCCTCAAAAAATTATTTTGAAGTTTTGCCATAAGGTATTTGTGCTCACCAGACAGAGACGGAGAGAGAGAAAAGGAAAGTGAGAAGTCACCCCCCAGGGAAGATGGCCACACCATGGTCCCTTCTCCTCCATTCTCCTCTTGGGTTTTAGGGCACACATGCACACGCACCTGGCGTGATTTCCAAGCTGCTGGGCCTGGGACCCGAACCATGGTCAGCCACGTTGGAGTCCAGCGCCTTAACCGCTATGCCACCTGCTGGCTCCCACGTGTAACTTGTGACTCCCGAAAACTTGGGAATTACTAGCCTGCTGCTGCCCAGAATCTTTGCTGAGAGCGTAGCCCAGCCATGCACACAGTTCTCGTGTTGTGTGTATTACATGATCAGTGTGAGCCTCAGGCAAGCTTGAGAAAGAAAACGTTAGGAAGACCGTCAGAGGGAGGGAGCCTGCGTGTGCTGCCCTGTACTTCCACTGTGCTGAATTTGTTAGAAATCTGACCCCCCTGGTGGGATAGCACAGCAGTAAGGCCACCCAACCCACTGGGAAAGGCCCTAAATCCCCCTCTTTTCTTCTTTAGAGAGAGTTTTTGCTATAGGGCACTTGGAGAGACAGAGAGACAGAGAGACAGAAAGCGAGAAATCACCCCCCATGGGGATGGCCACGCCGCAATCCCTTCTCCTCCATTCTCCTCTCGGGATCTTGGGCACGCACACAGATGTGTCCAGAGTGGTTTTGAAGCCGCCAGGTTTGGGACTTGAACCACAGTCGCCATGCGGGAGTCCAACACCTTTAAGCATCATGCTACCTGCTGGCCCCTTTATTTATTTATTTATTTATTTATTTATGTATTTTACATTTTTACCATACAGCATGTGCGCTCACCAGAGAGAGACAGAGAGAGGGAAAGTGAGAAATCACCCCACGGGGGGATGGCCACGCCGCAATCCCTTCTCCTCCATTCTCCTCTCGGGATCTTGGGCACACACGCACATGCGCCCGGCGTGAGTTTTAAGCCACCGAGTCCGGGACGCGAACCGCGGTCGACTACGTGGGAGTCCAACAACATAGCCATTACGCTAACTGCTGGTTCCCTCCTCCTGGGATTTTGGACATGCACACACATGTGCCCAGCATGATTTTCAAGTTACCAGGACCAGGACTTGAACCGCAGTTGGCCATGTGGGAGTCTAGCACCTTAACCGCCCTACCACCTGTGGGCCCCCACACCACAGTCTTTAATGAAAAGACTAGTTTCTCCTCTTGTTGCTCCTCTCCTTTATCAGTTTATAGCATGATAAACTGGTGGCATGGTGGTTAAGGTGCTGGACACTCCCGTATGGCTGATCATGGTTCGAGTCCCAGACCTGGACCAAGCTGTGCAGTGGGCATTCAAGCTTCTGCTTCACCAGAATTTTTTTTTTTCAGAATTAATGACAAATAAATGATAAATAAATAAAGGGGCTAACAGGTAGCATGATGCTTAGCCCAGGACTTGAACTACGGTCGACTACGTACGTGGGAGTCTAGTGACATGACCATGATGCCATCTGCTGGTCCCCAGGCTTTTCTTTTCTTCGCTTTGTAAGCTACATGACGTATGTGATTAAATATATAAACGAAACTGAAATAAAAAGCATATATATAATTTATAAACGTATTTATCCCATGACAGAGACAGCCACTCCCCACAGGGTCCTCACGCCATGATGCACGTCAGCCTCGGCAGGCGGGGGTCACGGGCATGCGCATGCACGGACCCAGCATGCTCAGGAAGGCGGACCCAGGACCCTCTCCATGTGGACCCAGCTGCACCACTACTGGGCCCCCACCTGACCCTGCTGGCTGGCTTTTCTCTGCCAGACTCTACCCATCTGGGAAGACAGTCTACCACATCACCTTGGCATTCTGGTGGCCTTTGCCCCCACAGTTATCTGAGCTGTGGAGTTCTTGGCTGGCGCAGCCGAGTCCCCCGTCAGCCTGGCTGTCCTCCCAGATTCTCT